AATCGTTTGTCAAAACTGTCAGTGAGTCACCTTTGGGTCTTCTTACCCTCTTGGCCACTACTAGTCCTTCACATCCAGCTTCTGCTGGGTCACACCTCCTCTTACTTGCAGGAAGCATATGACACCAAAGGCCACACCTACCTTATAGAACTTTCCGATAGTAATCCCTTTCTGACCTTTACCCAGTTCCCTTATTCCTCCCTCTCTCTTTTCCCCAAAATGTTCACATTCACTGAATAATCACTCTTCAAATTCTACTTTTCAAATTCTCTCTGCCCTTTAAAATTTGCTACCATCATGGCTCCTCTTCCCATCTCTTTGCAGACGATCATAAAATCTGCACCATTTTAGCCTCCAGATTTGCATGCTCTGTTGCTGACTGCTTATAACTGCCATGGGTGTGTGTCTACCAAATGAGCAAACGTAAACACATGGGTGTACTTCTCCATATGTTCATCTTTCCCATCCTAACAGAAACACTGCGGTCTACAAAAGTATTAACCATCATCTTCAATATTTCCCTCCTCTGAACCTGTGGGCTTTTTCCTACCATACCATTTATCACATCTGGTCAATCCTCACCTCTCACTTGACAACCCCCCTTCTTTCCCTCTGAGAATGACTATAAGAATCTTTGTACGTTCATCTCTTGTAATCTCTGTGTGCTCTAGTGCCAGAGAAGGCTTCACAAACCACAGATTTCATCAGGCAACAGCTGGAACAGTAACCACTCTAATTGTTGGACCAGCACATGGTATGTGCTCAGGAAATAGATGCAGAAGTCTTTACCAATATTTCAGAATCCATCTACATCTCCCAACTCAAATTGATCCATCCCCCATTCTGGTCCCATAGCTTTCTTTTAAGCTAAGAGTCCTTAGCACATGTTGCCACATCATTCAATCTATTAAATGTCAAGCCTCAATCCAAGCACTGTGGGAATTACTATTTTTAATAGTAAACATTCAATAGATGCTTTCTCACTGAGGTTTTACAAGAAAGTGTACTTGTGTTGTTTTTGAGGCAGATTAGCTATTTTATAATACAAACAACAAATTTGAAATTTTTAGATAGGGCAAAATTTTTGAAATACACATCATAATTCTGAGCGACATATTTCTTATGTAAAAAAGACTGAATTTTAATATTTTCTGAAGTTTTTTCTTCACAGTAGGCCTAATTTTAGGGATCTCCATCAGCACATATATGATATAATAATGTCATGAATCTAAATTTGTAAACCACAGTTCTTGACTATGACAATACTAGAAATTCTGTCACAATTACACACTGACTAATAAAACATGTTTCGTGTGATGGCAATAATCATCATCATTATAATACAATTTTGAGTAGTTGCTGTAATGAGCATTGTTTGAAACATTATACATACATTAAGTATATTTTAATCCTTATAAATGACCTAAAATATATTAACCTTATTGATAAATTGGAAAACTAAGGACTAGAGAGTGTACAATTCATTCAAGGTCCCACGGTTAGTGTCACAGCCTGGACATGAAAGGTCGCTCCCAGGCACACACTGAATTCTCAGACCCCGCTGGTGGTGCTGTGGGGGAAGGTTCTGGAAGCTTAAAGAGATGGGCCCAAGTGGGAGGGAATAGATCACTAGGGGTGTGCTTTGAAGATTACACCTGTTCCCTTCCACACTCTGCTTACTGCTCACCATGATGTAAGCAGTCTCTTTATTTGTACACTCCACTGCTGTCATGTTCTGTCCAAATGATGTGCACCAAGTATGGATTCCACCCTCTGAAGCTGTGAGATGAAATACACCTTTCTTCCTTTAGATTACTGTATTGGTTGTTTTGATCACAGTTATGCGCAATAACCAACTTAGCTGTCAATCAGCAGAGCCTAAACTCAAACTCTTGCATTGTGGCTCATGTGTTATTTCCTCTTTTAAATACACTTATAAATTGGAAATAAAAATAATCAGAAGAAGAAAATGATTACTCATCATCCCACAAATGCATATGAATAAATTCTTATTTTAAAAATTAACTATGTCAGGTGTGATGGGAACATCTACAATCCCAGCACTTGGGAAGCTAAGGCAGGAATATTACAAGTTTGAGATCAGTCCAAACTAAATAATGAGACCCCCAACTAAAAATAAAACATTAACATAAAAAGCTAAATAATATTTTCATTTGAAAGTCATAAGGTGTTTAGACATGAGCTAGTTCCAGGTTCTATTTTTCTTGAGGATAAAAGGTAGAGAAATGGAATCGCAAAGCAGTTTTAATCTGTATTTTCTTGATGGCTAAGGATGGAAACAGAAAGGGATGGTAGTAAATTCTGCAATTTCTACAGAGGCAGGAAGATTGCCACAAGAAAGAATGAAAGAAAGAAAGAAAGAAAGAAAGAAAGAAAGAAAGAAAGAAAGAAAGAAAGAGAGATGGAGGGAGGGAGGGAGGGAGAGAGAGAGAAAGAAAGAAAGAAAGAAAGAAAGAAAGAAAGAAAGAAAGAAAGAAAGAAAGAAAGAAAGGGAGGGACAGAGGGAGGAAGGAAGAAAGGAAGGAAGGGGAAAGAAGAAAGAAATAAAGAAAGAAAGAAAGAAAGAAAGAAAGAAAGAAAGAGGAGGATCAAGAGGAGGAGGAAGAGGCTTTAAATATTTACTGACCATTCAGAAGACTTTGATTCCTTTTATTCTTTTTATTTCCAGTGACGAAGAGGGACTTGGGCTCCTCACTGGTAGCTAACATGGGGGCTGCACAGAGCACTCAGGTGTGGCCTCTTCTCTCCAGCCCTCTGGACACTCCAGCCCTCTGGCACACTGCTCCAACCCATGAAGGCAATGCCATTTAGAGTCTTATCACTGAGAGCCGAAGCAGGAGCTCATTCCCCATGTCCACACCTCCTGCTGTGAACACCCTTCCCATCTCCAGTGTCTTTCATTTGTTATGTCTGTGGAAAGACAGACTGAAATATTTGGGGGCGTGCTGGTACATCACTAGACCCTTTCATACAGGAAGCCCAGGTGGTACAGCATAGCGTGAAAGCCTGGAGGAAAGAGGACTCTGGAAATGTTGTTGTCAGACTTTACTGGCAGATATATCATAGGAAGACAATTCCGACTGACAACAGCCTTCAAGAGAAGAGGCTGAATAGAACCCAGGGGGAGATATTTTCCATTCATTTGAGAAATCACTTTTCCAGGGCCAGGGAGATGGTTCAGAGGGTAAGAACGCCTGCTCCCAAACTTGAGAACCTGAGTTCAATCCCTAGGATCTACACAGTGGGAGCTGAGAACTGATACCAGCGAACTGCCCACTGTTTGCTTTCCCACACTGCGCACCCACATAATAAATACACACACACACACACACACACACACACACACACAATTCAATTAAAATTAAAAAAAGAAAAACTTTTTGTTGTTATTGCTGATTTTTTATTTTGTTTTTTGAAACAAAATCTTCCTGAAGCCCGGTGGCCCCAATGGCCTGAAACTTTTTACATAGACCAGGCTGGCCACAATGTCACCAGGATCACCTGCCCATGCTTCCCAGGTGCTGGACTGAAAGGTGCACACCACCACTTCTGGCAAGAAATCGCTTTATCAAAGAGATAACTAAGGATGATGTGGATTTGCCTGTGAAGTTGGAGTTCCCCTGTCACAAAAGGTGTCAGATGCAGATTGGACAGATGTTAGGGGAGTGTTGCCAGGAACATGGTAGGACTGACTAAGCACATTGAAAGACTTTCTAATGGTTTCTCTTCCGAGGCTAGGATTCCAGTTCTGACCACTCCACCGCTGCACTATCTATCTTAAATTGTACCTGAGGTCAATCTTTAGCTTCTCTCAGTCCCTGTTTATTTTACCAAATCTTTAAGACAGAATCCCCCTTTCAAATTTTGTCCGAAATCATGTCATTTTTTCTAAAGCAAATAGAATCCACCTCTATTATTCACAAACGACAACAATCTACTGATTGATAAATAAAGATATATAGGTTTATAGGAAAGCTAGGCACTCTACAAGGGTTGCAGATATGAGGAACTCCTTGAATGTATTCATATATCTGAAATTCATAGAGGTTAAACACATAAATACACAAAGAATTCAGCTATAGAGATAGTAAACTACAAGGTCATGGGATTTAAAAGAAATTCATATTAATGAAAAACTAAAACAAGCGAAAGTACTTGGGTGAGATAATTTGAGTCAAATAAGTTTTTCCTGAACTGGGGTGGGGACCATAGAACTAAACCTACTGATACCAGGGTGATGACATTTATAAAGGAGATTAAAGAATGTTTTTATTTAAATGTATGTGTGTACAATATTTGTAATTCATCAAGAGGTACCCTAAGCTTCCCTACATCTAGATACTTCCCTGAAGAGAAGGTAAGCCTAGCAGGAAAGCTGACAGAAACATTTGTAGTTGAATATATACTAAAAGCTAAATCAGTGGATAGTTATATATGTAATCAAGTTATATAAATCTAGTTGGTTCTAAGTAAAATATGCAAAAATGATACAAACCATTTCTTAAAATTTACTTAATGACAACTTTCCTATTAAATTGTATAAACTTGGGAAATTCTTACTAATCATAAATAACATAACAAGCAATTGCCCAACCAATAAGGGAAAAATACAATAGCTGGGTAACCTAGAAATTCCTAGCTGTCCCATGGGACAGGAGTGGGCAAGTTTAAGCCTGAAGCAAGAAATGTCCTGTAAGCTACATGAGCTGCCTTCAGAATGCATCTTACACCTGCCAGGACATATCTAGGACCCAGGTTCATGGCTGAGCACAGGAACCATTTTTGTTGGCATCTAACTGGAGCTTTTCTGATGTGGCACCAACATTTGACTTACAGAGTCTTGTTTTGTTTAAAACTGTCATAGCAGACAACATTCAGTGTTAGTGAGGGAGCCGCAGGGAATAGAAAAGACGCATATCATGTCCAAAAGTGCAGAGGTCTGTAGGTGGTTGCTTCCCTACCCACTAAAGCTTACTCACCTGCCGCCAAGGTGTGTCCTGCCCTGGAAGCACTGGCCACACAGCCCACTGAATTGCAGAGAGAGACAGTAAATGTGTAGATCCTATAAGCCTTGAGGCCCTCCACGATGTAGGACTGTTCTTCGGACTTGGCAGAATGTATCAGCTTTAGGGCAAAAGAATAATAAGAGCAATCAAGTAATACTCAGTACAAAACATGCAATCTTGGCAGTTAAAGTTCCATGAATTGAGACCAATGGAATCATTTCCAACTACTATAAGGTAAAGAGATTTTTTTAGAGTCACAACAAGCCAGGGTTTAATTGATAATTGCACAATCACACTGTTTTATGAGGTAATAATACGGTTCCTGAGTGGATAATGAAGAAACCGAGTTACAGCCTCATAAAGCAGCATGGTTGTATGGTTATTGTCACCAACGGTGGAGGAAAAGATGGCGACATTGTCATGGTTACCATGAAAAAGCCCACATGGAACCATGGGGCTTGCCTGAAAGTAACCCAGGACAGTAATACCACATGCTACTTGATGGCAGAGGCGGGAACCCAGGACGATGTCAGTGCCAATCATACTACCATGGCTTAACACATCCACAGAAGAGGGAGAAAGACAGACAGATTGCCAAGTGGCCCCATGAGCTCAGTTCTCAGCTATCTTTGTTATACAAATACACATACAAATTAGACATTTTCAAATGAAAACCAAAGATTTGAGCAAAGGAGATTGAGAGGAACATCATAAAAAAGTAAACAATCGGCATGAAGAGTTCGTCCCTGGAACCAATCACAAGCAACCATGTAAATTTGCTTAGGCTGTGGATGCAAATTATATTTAGGAAGAAAAAAAAAATCACAGAACCAAAAAGCACAGCACCAATCATGAACATGAAATGATTTTTCTTAGGGCTACTGACATGTACTCATGTATCAAACAGTGATGGTTTAGTACAGTAATGGACCAGACTGCAGATATGACTGTGGTCCTTCATGATTGCAGCAACTGAACATTTTCTACTACTCAGTGATGTCATAGCTAGTGAGTACCACAGGGAAAATATCATCTGTTTGTGGTGACGATGATGTAAAAACAAAATATTGTACTACACTGATAGAAAACCTATAGTACTTACAATTGTGGGCAGTACAGAAAAATTGGTAATGATAAAGCAAGACTACGACACTGGTTGATGTATTTACTGTATGCTTTGTAATTAGCACCTAGTCTTTATACTTACAAAAAAAAAACAAAAACAAAAACAAAAACCCAGTTTGCTAAAAAAGTGTGCTGAACTGAATCAGGAGCATGCTTACCATGTTTAAGCCTGGAACATGTAGTCCATGTGTATTGTTTTTTTTGATTTCATCAAGACTGTGTAGTCATGGACATGCCTCATAGGCATGTGTATGTACACTCTATGACATTTGCACAACAACAAATTCTAACAAATTTCTCAGAGTATATCTCTCTCATGAACTGATACAACTTGATACATTCATATGTGATGATACCTCAAAAATAGTCACAAACACGGAATAGTAACATTTGAAACAACTTTAAATATTTTCTATGCAAAAGTACAATAAAATTTGGGGGAGAATGTTTAACTAGGGACTGACTTTAAAACTATATAAACTAAAAAAATACAAGAACAGACTGAAAACAACCACAAAACAGAACACCAAAGATAAATGTGTGGAATGAAATGAAAGGAATAAAGATCAAACACCATTCACATTTGTAAATTTACCTTAGCTCTCATGTTACACCAGATTTGTAAATGTTCTAAGTAAAAGACACATGGCTACACTCGCTGCTTTTAGCACACTAGCTGAAAAAGAGTCATGTGCAGATGGATGGAAAAGTACAATAAAGTATCAAATATTTATTATTGACTCTTTTCTTTGTTCAGTATGAAATTAGAATTCCGTGTTGTGTAAATGTGCTCTTTCCACCAAATGGCTGTGAAAACAAAAAGCAAATCTATTAGTAATGAATTGAAGAGTGTCTCCCCAAAATGCATACCTACCCAGAACTTCAGAATTTCACCTTTTAGAAATGAGATTTTTGCAGGTTTAAGTAGCTAACACATCTTGTATTTTGGGTTAGCCTTAAATCCAACAACTGGTGCCTTCAGAGGAGGCGTGAAGGGGTGCCCAGAGACAGAGGGCACAAAGGCAAAGCAAGTTGACAAAGTAGAGAGGGGAGACCCATTGGCAGAAGCCGAGGAGCATCACCAAGCGTCTGGTGGCAGCTGGAAGAGACTGGCAGTGGCTTCTCTAGGGCATGGGAAGGGCATGGCCCTCCCGGCAGCCTAGTTTCAGTCTTAGAACACGAGAGAATTAACATCTGTCTTATTTTAACCTACTCGGTTTATGGTCATTTTTTTATGGTAGAGCTAGTGTGATGGGAGATGGGCCTGGGCTCTCCACCCATCTGGGGAGACTTTGGAGGTGATTCTGGTTCTAGAACTGTCCCTGAGATCAGCTAAGGCCTTTCCATTACAGCATTATAACTCGGCTCGGCTGCTCAATCTCCCCAGTGCTGCGTCTCATACCTTATATGCCTCCTGCCTTCAAGTTTTCTCCCTCAGAGGTGTTTCTTGGGGAAACTGAACTACGACAGTGGGTACCAGGAACAACAGTCCTAGGAAGACGTCTAAACACAAAGTGGCATGCTCAAGTGGATCACCCCAGCTGGTTGGCTGGAGGACTTCCTCACAGGCAGGCCCACAGTATTGCTGGCATTGTCCAATTTTCAGACTTCCACTAGTGATACAATTATTAAGATAATTTTGGGGAAGTATTAATTTTAAGAATGATATAATCAGATGATTTGTGTCAAATGTCATCTGTACATTAAAAGAAAGAAAATATTAAATTTATAATCAGCAATTTAAGACCAATTAGAAAAGCCTTCTTGAGGGTACCGTTTTTGTATCAATAATGTCGTGTTGAATGGATCATATACTCAAGGAGCAACAAGTATGGAGTGGTTTTAGTAAAACATGTTCCCCAGAGAATGGGACACTTAACTTTTGGAAGATCAAAAGATCTACTGCATCAGCTGGGGTCTTATCAGGACAAGTTGTCTGTGACACTCTAACACATCTAAGTAAAGGAAAAACGATTTTTACTTTGCATCGCCTACATTAAGTGGGAATCGCAATGTCTGATGAACAAATTCATGTCTGAAGGGGATATTCCTCAACAGGAATATCTGACCTCATCAACACATCAACATCAAATTTTGCCTCGTTTCACACATCTCAGAGCAGAACTAGATCCAGGTTTTGGTATAAGCCAATGTTTGGGTCATTAAACCCAATTCATCCTCGGGTCTTAGAAGTAATAATGGCAAGAAATATAAGATACATATTGAAAAGGAATCACAAGGGTTACAGGGTGCCGAGCAAAGGCTGATGAAGTAATGGAACTCCTACGCTACCTGCTAAACCCTCTCAGCATGCTTCTGGGTTCCCATCACAGCAGGGCATCTAACAATGGAGGCTCCAATGGACATGCAGTGGGAAATACTTCTCGTGAGCTGTATTCTTTCAGACACAGCAAATCTTAAGGTCAGGTGCCTGCTCAACTGGAACTCATCTTATGATGGAAGCTATCTAAGATTTGAGCACAAAACATGTTACACGAAACAACCCAAACATGTTACACAGACTGGTGGTTTGAATGAAAATGTCTCCCATAGATTCCAAGTATTTGAACAGTTTGTCCCCAGTTTTGGGAGATCTTAAAAGGTGTGCCTTGCTGGAGGAAGCATGTCACTGGGGAGGGCTTAGGAGTTCTTAAGCCTTGCCTGCTCCAGCCCCCTCTGCCGCTGAGCCTCTCTGCCATGATGGACTCTTGCCCCTTTGGAACTGTAAGCTCAAAAAAAAAAAAAATTCTCCCTTCTATAAGTTGCTTTGGTCAGTGTTTCTATCGCAGCAACAGAAAAGTAACTAATACACAGACCCTTGTGAGTTCCCAGTTGATTAGAAAGAAAGAAAAACACCATGGCTGAGTTCACAGATGGGTTGTGTTGGAAAAGGGCTGCAAGGGGAATATGAGCGATTACTGCTCCATAGCTTTGACTCCTGGTCCTCAGAAACACAGCAGTCATGACAAATCTTCTCAGAGGACAGAACTTGAGGCAGTAAACCTGCTCATCCATTATACGTGGATGAGAAACACCAAATGTAAAAGACATGTAGACTGTGAGGCAGGAACTTGGCTGTGTTGGTCACAAAGATGAAAGATGACTGAAAGATCAGGAAGTGGGTAAACTGGGAAAGAAAAAGTGCACAGACCCTGTGAGTGGACATGACCTAGGAGATCTTTGTATCTCCTGTTAGTACTCATCAAAGAGTATGTCCCTCAGAACGTCCAAGAGAGCAGGATGACGCACACGAGATTGACACCAGCAGCCTCTGTCTTTGACCATTCCCATAATTATAACATGGGCTAGCAAGGAAGTCACCTTCATCTCTAAACAGGAGAAAATTAGAACCTTCCATCTTCTGGGTTTGTGTGCACATCCAATGAGCTAATTCTTGGACACAGTGAAACATCAAGGACTGTTAACTATTACCGTTATCTCTACTGGAGCATACATTATGAGATGGCAGGATGTGGACATAACATCTACAACCTGGAGCATATTCGCTGTGTTCATGGCTTCAGCTGAATTATTCATATACAGTTTTTGAAACAAGGTATGACCTCAAACTCACAATGTAGCCAAGGATGGCTTTGACCTAATCTCACAGCCTTTGCCGTCTAAGAGCTGGGACACGCTGCTGGTACCCAAACCCAGGGCGTCATGCATGCTAGGCAAGCACTTTGCCAGTTGAGTCGCATCCCAGCCCATATTCACAGTTTGTTAAACGTTTTCTTATGCACTGTTATATATAAACTTTTTTCATGACATTTAGGAAGGAACTGAGTTATATACAAAATATGCATATAATCATGACATTTACTAAGGAATTGAGTTATGTACAAAATATGCATATAAAATGCTCTTGTCAAAGTCATTTTTATACTCAAATGAATACAATATAAATATCGACAGATTGTGGACTTGTTAAATACACTATTATATGTTCAGATAATATTTTCAGATTATGGAGTACATAGCTACTGAAAGTTAACTGCTTACAAAATATTTAGGAGTAAGTGGAAACATCAGGTCTTATGAAATAAAATTACATCTGTTTTGTTTTGGTACGTTCTTACCTTAGAAAAATTAGTGGGTTACATATACAGAGAGGACCTCGAACATCTGATACTGTGCTAACTAGATGCTTCATTTAATGACGAGATGGGGGAGTTCTGTTACAAAAATTCTGTAAATTCAGAAAATGTCAAATGAAACTGCAATTCTGAAAGGAAATTAGTTGAAAATAAAAATACCTTTGAAAACATCCTGGGAATATCTTGCTGGGGTGATTGCTCAGAAACCATATTGATGTGATAGCCTACAATGTCTCCTCTTGTAACATCCTCTCCTGACTTCTCCCAGGAGACACTGAGTGAGCACGATGACAGTGGGCGGACTGAAGGACGGAACATGAAGACAGGCGTTATCAAAGAAAAGAGATCATCAAAACCGTGATGCTGTCCCTACAAATTTTCAACTTATATATTCTGGTTTCTGAAAGACAATGTTCTTTGTAAATTATTCTGAATTTTAAAGATTGAAGAGTATACCGGTATATTATGAAAGGTTCACTTTCAAATGTCACCCCAAGGATGTTCTCCATCTCAATATTATCAAGTGAGATATTTTTCATTTACAAAATAATACTTGACTGGGCATTAGAGAGGTATGTAATCAAGAGGACCTGAGTTCAGATCCCAGCGTGTGCATGGAAGCCTGAGCATGACCTCCTGTGGACCTGTGATCTCAGTGTTGTGGCTGGTGGAGACAGTAGGATCACTGGGGCTTGCAGACTACAGCCTAGCTCCAGGTTCAGTGAGAGACATTAAGAATGTGTTTGTGTTGATTAAGATGATTATTAAGTAATGGGGTCGAAAACCAAGGGTATAAATGTTTGAAAGAAATTACAGAAACACAATAAATTTGTCTTTGTCCCCAAGGTTCAGAATGATTGGAGGTAATACACTGGATTTTTCATATAAAGAAGCATTTCATTGAGGCAGACCAATGAAAGACCAGAAAGCAGTAATTTCTAAAGTGTCCTAAAAATTCCCAAAGAAACTCACAGTTTTTGGTAAATTTTTGCTGGAATATTCAGGCACAGACACTCCATACTATCCTCCCCCCAACCCCTACCATTCTTGAGATTTTAAAAATGGAATTAAAATGCGTTAACTGAAGGTATGCTATCAAAGGGCCTCAATGCACTACGCCTGGCCAGCGACCCATGGTTGCAGCTTCATCTGTTTCTTTTAGTCTCTGAACTTGATTTTCCTGTTCCAAAACTCTGTGCCTCAACATCTGTGTGATCAAGGCACTGTTATTTGTCCAAGATTGCTGCTATCAAGAGATGCCCAAACAGGATGCACACTTTATTCATGATGAGTCTCTTAGACAGCCACCTAAAGCCACCTTCATTCTTCATAGTTCTAAAAGGTCAAATTTAGATCAGGATTTAGGTTTCTTTGGTTTCTGTAGATTCAATGCATAGCGAATGTTTTCTGAAATGCTCATGAAATTTGAAATATGCTTAATGTAATAAAGATTGCAAATAAATTATTTGCTGTCATGAAGACATTGCAAGAACACTAAACTTTTGGCTCTCCTTCCACACCGTAATGTCAATTGCTTATTAGAACACATGGGGCTAGAGATGTTTTAAAAATATATTATTGATTTGAGTATTTCATATAATGCATTTGATGGTTTGGTTTAGATCATTGTGGAAAATTTGCTATCTAAGTTATTTGTTTCACAAAGAGAAAAAAATACGAAACAATTGTAAACTGGAAACACTCACTAACTGTAAGTAATGGGCAAGGTAAGACTTGTGGTCACCCCATTTTGGGGCTGGAAATCACCTATTTTGAGGAAGTATACCCCAAGATGTAGGCCTAGAGCTAACCCTTCTCCCTACAATAAATTAATAGCAAAAGCATTTATTTCTCCCTCCTAAAACTTAGCACACATATTTTGTGACTGCAATGGTTATTATTGTTTTGGCTTTTTGAGACAGGGTCTCCCTATAGTCACAGCTGGCCTGGAACTCCCCAGTAGACCAGATTGCCTTCAATCTCACAGATTCACCAATGGCTGGTTTTGTCACTGGGCCCTGAGCTGAAGGGGAAGGAAAGGGGCAGCTGTGGACTAGTGCACATGCAAGTACTGCTCTTGTATTCTGACTGCCAACATGATGTGACCACTTCTCTGTCTCCTCCTGCTGTGGCTCCCCGCTCTGATGGACAGTACCTGGAATGGTGCACTAAATAAACCCTTTCTCCCCTGAGCTGCTTCTGTCAGAGTATTTTTAAATATCTGAATTAAGTTGTGGCTTTATTACTGTTTTCCCCCTTTTTGTTGAATTCGAGTGAATTTCATATATTTTGATCATATTTAGAACTCTCTTGCATCTGCACTTGCTCACTAACTCCCATCATAATCCCTGTACTCTAATCTATAAATACATTAAGGACTATAGAGTCAGGGTTGTGTCTCCAAATGGCCTTCGGTGTGGGTTCATCCACTAGAGCCTGTTCACTCTACCAAGAGTCCCACCCTTAAACAAGACTGAATTTCCCCTTCCCAGTAGCAATCAGTTTCCAATAGTTCCTCATGGTAAGACCCTATTGCTGAAGACACCGCATACATGTGCTGTACAGCAAACGGGGAGAAATCCGGCTGGTGCTGACCTCAGAGCCTCATCTCTACTGTCTAGCTTTCTGAGCACTAAGGTGTTATGCAAGGTATCTGGAGGGAAAATTTAGCAAGAACCTTACCCAGCTATGAATCCTGTGAATCACAACAAGTATTGGCCTGGCAAGCCCACCAGTGTAATAGTTCCACTAATACTGTCAGAGTATTTTTATCACAGCAACAGGAAATGAGACCGTGGTCCTGAATCATTCATGACTACCCCATTATTAGTTTTTCCATTGGCCCACGTAAATTTATCATTTGTGGCTTCCAGAAGGCACTGTCTTAGCACCATTATCTTAATTTCAGGTAGCACATTCATCGAGGGATTTTAGAATTTGAATTCAAAGCACTGATCTGTACCTGATTCTCCTGTCCATCCGGAGATCCAGGCAGAAGACACACTGCCAGCCATTTTCACAACTAACAACCTAAACTGGTACTCTGTGTATGGCTCCAAGTCAGTGATGGATGCAGTGGTTTGGGGAGGTTGTAGTGCATTGTCATTGGCTGATCCTGAAGAGGGCTGAGGGCTGAGCCAGCCACTACTCTCAAACACTGGACCTTCTTCAGTAGATTCCAATCTTTTCATGTATAATTCATATCGGACAATTATGCCTAGAACACAAATAGTAAATTGAAGTGATTGAGTCAAAGGGGCTATTTTTGGGGGTGGGGGAGTACTGGTCATTTAAAGACTGCTGGCTTTTTGGTATTCTAACTAGATCATGCGTTCATTCTTTTAAAAATGTGTTTTATTCATTATTTTTATTTGATGTGTATGAGTGTATTGCTTGAATGTATACAAATGCATCTGTGTCGTGCAATGCCCATGGAGGTCAGAAGAGGGCATTAGATCCCTGAAACTGGAGTTACAGATTGTTAGCTGCCATGTGGGTGCTGGGGACCGAACCCTGTCCTCAGCCAGTGCTCTGAACCACTGAGCCATCTCTCCAGCCCCATGTTCATACTTAAAGTCATCTTAAAGTAGCAACTTAGTAATCTAGTTGATGGGTGTATATGACAGGCAACAAACTGTTAGATAAAAAGATTCTGAACTATAATGAAAGGCACACTTCTGTGGAGGGAAAAGAAATCAAAAGAAGCAAAGGACAAATGTACTGTTTTTATAATCTGTCATAGGTGAACGCAAACATTTTCAGGATAGGTGCTCATAATTTCTGCTAAGGATGGCCAGTTCTTTTGCATATCTATACATTGTACTTTCCAGTTTGCATATCCTCAAATTTGGGGATTTTAATTACATGTTTAACCTAAACCATGTATGCATAAACAGTGTAGTTAAATTCTACCCCGTTTTACCAAGCAACAAAAAAGTCTCAAGTTTTTGCCATAATAGCTGTATGATATAAATTATTAAAAATCTAAGAATGTGTGCCTGGCCTATGTACCCCAGGGTTCAACTTTAGGAACATAAAAATTAACTTAATGGAGTCAGCTAGCCTATATACATATTTTTGTATTATTTTATATACTTTCTTTGTACAAAAGAGAAAATTCACTGCTTATTGGTGCCCTAACTTATGACACAGTCAAACATAATGCATTTCATAAGATAACATTCAATTATAAACATCATTTGTGTTATGGCAGATGTCATTAAGAGCAAAGATAATATTAGCCTTTTAGAAGGCAACTTAATTGAATGGAATTTGTTACTAGATTAGAAGACATACCCTCCTTCACTAACCAGGAGCAATAGACTCTTAGGTCTTTAGAAACTATTTCTCAATTATAATACTGTACATCAATATAAACAAATAGATTTCCTAGTGTTGCTATATAATCCCCACTGGTTGGAATTCTGCAGGAGAGAGAGACATCTGGGTCTTGAATTCTTACCATTCACTTCCACTGGTAGAGACCATGCTAAATGAAGTTCTGTGGAACTGATTTTCTGTATCACAGGTGGACTCAGCCTTTGGGGAGGTGCCTGGGCTGTGGTTACTGTACTGGGCAAACTGTGTAAACAGCCCCCACTAGTACATGCCTGCACAGAAAAGGAGTACTGGGTGCATGGGACCAGGTTCCATATGGTGGCTAAGGTTTCCTGACCTTCAAAGGGAGCACAGGGCTCAATGCTGTCCAAAGGTGTGCAGGATAAAACAGGATCAGAGTGATCAGAGACCTCACTCCAGGTCAGTGTCACAGAGTGAGAGCTAACAGGAAAGACATGAGTCAAGTTGAAGAGTGCTTCTGGGACCCCTGACTTCATCTTGTCTATGACAGCAGTACTCTTTGCTGGACCATGCACACTGGTGGTCTCAATGGCGTAGGTATAAGATGGACAAGGTGACAGGCCAGAGCCTGAGAAGTACTGACTATCTGAAATGAAAAGGCGAACAAGAACACAATTAAGTTCACAGACTGCTCAGGAATCGTTTCTAATTCCCTTCCTCTTAAGCTATGTAACTTTGTAATGTGTTTCAATGAACTCTTTGGATAAGAACATACTTCATATATTTACAAGGAAAATATTCAGGCAGATACTGGCTGCTTTTATTACACAGCATATTGTTTTCTAAAAATGTTGATTATAGTCAAGGATACTTAGAAGTCTGTTTCTGTAATTATTTCGTGCTTACAGACTTTCTCTAACAGAAGAACCACAACATTCCCGCAGTCACTGAGACAGAGATCGCTTTCTCTAGACTGCTCTGCCTGCTGAAGGCTGATGCTCTAAGTCCAGTTCTCTGCAAACTATCACCAAACAGAGGGTGTCTCTCGGTCAGTACCGTGACTGGAACCGTTCCTCATTTTCTTCCAACTCTTTTTTTGCATAGGGGAACTAGAGAGATGGCTCAGCACTTAAGCGCACTGGCTGTTCTTGCAGAGGACCCAGATTCAGTTCCCAGCAATGACATGGTGGCTAGCAGCCATCCCTTTCAGTTTCAGGGGGTCCAATAACCTCTTCTGACCTCTGCAGGCACTGTACGACATTCAGGTAATACATTCATACACATAAAATTAAGTCAGGTGTAGTGGTGCATGGTGCATGCCTTTATTCCCAGAGCTCGGGAGGCAGAGACAAGTGAATCTCTGTGAGTCTGAGGCCAGCCTGGTCTACATAGAGAGTTCCAGGCCAGCTGAGGCTACAGGCAGACCCTGTCTCATAAAGACCAAAAAATAAAATTGCATAGGACTGCAAGTGCCTATTGTATTTAACTGTTAAATCTTGGAAACATTTGTCAACTGCAATAAAGAAATTATTCAAAAGAAGTTCTAGGTAGCCAGAAATTATATGCGTGAAGGGCTTCGGTGAAGAGGTTAAGACATGAGGTAGGTGGCGGCATAACCAGCTGTGCACCGGAACTCTGTTCTCTCACGTGGCGGAAGCTTGCCTCGGGACTGGGAAACCAAGCCAAATCAAAGCAGCTGCTGCCTGCTTCCTTCTGGGATTGTGTGAGGAGGAGTGAGGCTTCTTCCAGCAATGCAGGTTTCGGTGCATTTACATGCCCATGGAGTAAGATATTCAGAGTCTAATTTTAATTCACAGTTTCTTGTTTTCCCAAATAGGAAGGATGCTGTATTGAGAGATAGTGGACCTCCTATGGGACCTTTGTTGGTTGGGACTAGGTGACCCTTTAGCTTCTGGAAGGGTCAGAGGTTGGACATAGGATATAGGAGGGAAAATTAAGAATGTTCTAAGAAATAGGAATTTAGAGGAGACTAGAGGCGTTGTTCATGAGATCTGACCAAGCTGAGAATATCGTGTATTGACCAGCTTCATCTCTGAGCAGTGCCATCTAAATACTGAGGAATGAAACTGGTCAGCTAGACTTCAACAAGCCAACATCCCCTGAAGGAGGTCTGCAAAGGCCCAGAGGGAGGCCACCCCTCCACTAAATGCCACCAGTCACGGCAGTTAAGGGATGGGGTTGAAGGATCTGACAAGGCGAGTGGGGGTCCGAGTGTGCGTGATGTGATCATTCTGTTACGTGCATAGATGCAGATTCTTCCTGAGAACAGACACTGTGTGAGTAACCCATGCGCTTCACTAAGGGTTCAAAAGCTCCACAGAATGAATGCAGGGGAGACAGGGAGACATGGCTACCCTTTGGTGGCGGGAAGGAAACGTATTCAGACAAGCTCTTAGGGCTGAGGTCCAGATTTCGTCTATAAGGGTGCTGCCAAGGCTAGGTGGATGGAAGAAAACTTTGCTGAGGCTCTGTGATGACAAAGTCCCATGGGGGCCGCTTCTCTGCAGTGCTTCGGGAGAAGCTGCGAGCCCTGGGACGCACAAGGAGGCCCCCGTCTGCCATGTACTGGCCAGATCATTGTACCCTTCAAAAAAGCCTTCTTATCTTAAAGATGAGAATGCACAATCATCGTCTTAATTGATAAGAAATTGGAGTAAAACTAAAATCAGGATGGGGTATACAACTGAGCTGAGTTAAAGAATTTAAAAGGGCATGAATAGAATACCCATTAATTATAACAAAAATGATTGATTAAAAAGCACTTCTATCAAGATGGTTGCTTACTGCAAGATAAGGATTTTTGTCTGTCATTTACTCTGTGTTTAAACATCTGAGGACTCATCCCAAACTCTTGTACTTCCAGGGAAGCTGGGAAGCTCCTTTCCTCTGCAGGAATTTGGGATTTTTAACGTTACCTCCCTGGCTTGTAGCACTTCCTTCAGTGCAACAGCCCCAAACTCTGTGCCAGCTCTCATGTTCTTGTGAAGGTGCCATGTTTTTGTATCCCTCTGTGATTTTAATAGACAATCCTCCCGTGGGAGTTGCTCTCCCTACAAAACAGTATCTGTTCAACTCATCCCATGCCACCCCTTACTCTGAACATTTGAAGGGTTCTAAACCACCTTGTTACCACACATACTGTTTTTCCCCACCCACAACCTACCTCGTGCTCCATCAATAATCCTAGCTGAACCCAGGTTCACATTTAATGCACACCCTGTACCTTTGCTGTGCTATCCTCTCCCTCCCGTAGGAGAGCTGTCCCTCCCATCTTGATGTTTCCAGCCAGGGTTGAGGAGATACAAGCATGCTTAGAGCAGCCTAGTGGATCTTTTGTCGTCTACACTGTCTCCTTGAAGAACATGGGTATGGTCTCTAATCTGGCCTTTTTACTAGCATATATCGACAGTACAAAATACTGGGTTATTGTGTGACATTTTCATCCATGATGCAATCATGTGGTCATATTCCGTGTGCCCATTTCCCTCTGGTCCTTCCGTTCTTTTTCCCCTGTTCTGGTCTGTTCTCAGACTTTTCTTCCACCTTCATGTCTTTAAAAAAAAGTCTGCATCTCACTTAAGAGAGGAAACATAGTATTTTTCTGAGTTAGACTTATCTTACTTAATATAATCTCACTTTTACCCATTTTCCTCCAAATGGCACAAGTTCCTTCTTCTCGGGAATAAATAACACTCCCCTGTGCATGCCTCGTGTTCTTCATTCAAGCGTCCTGTAACGGGCACTCAGGTGGATTCTATGGCATGCTGATTGTCAATAATGCAGGAAAAACATGGGAATGCAGGGATCTCCACTATCATGACTTTGGTTCATTTTTAAACCAAAAAGCAATCATATGCATTTTTGTGTGCTGTGTGGTGGTATGTCATGTAAGTGCATTTGCCTGCAGAGTCCAGAAGCCAAAAGAGGGCATCCACTCCCCAGACCTGGAATTACAGGCCATTATGAGCTGTTCACTATGAGTACTGGGAACAGAATTTGGGTCCTCTGCAAAAGCAGGACACTCTGAGGCACTGAGCCGTCTATCTAGGCCCATAGTCAAGTAAGTGTGTGTGTGTGTGTGTGTGTGTGTGTGTGTGTGGTGTGAGTGTGTGGTCCTGGGGCTTGCATCCAGGGCCTCCTGTATGCTAGACAAGCATGCTACCAATGATCAACATTCTCAAACCTAACCTGTATGTCTTTGAGTCGCATATGGATTTTATCAGCAAGGAAGATGATTTCTGGAATCCATTCATCTACTATGTCTGATATGCCTTTGTTTCAAAAATCAAACATATATAATTTCTTATAAGCATTGTACACACACACACACACACACACACACACACATACACACACACACAGGTAGACAGACAGGCAGATGGAAAAACAGACACTACTTACTGAGCACTTCCTAAACATGAAACATTAGCTAAGAACATGGTGAGACATAACGTGACAGGTAGCAGCTGCAGCAAGATGTCACTAGGTGCTGAGTAAAGTGCTACCTTGAGGGCTATGGAAATGGCTCAGTGCTTACCAAGCAAGCATGAGGACCAGAACTCAAATCTCCAGAGCCCCTGTAAATGCTGTCCAGCTTACCTGAAATCAAGCCTCAGATGGCTGAGACAGGTGATCACCAGAGCAAGCTGCCTAGAGAGAACAGTCACACTGATGAGCTCTGGGTTTGGTTGCAAAATCCTGCCTCAACGAGTAAGATGAAAAAGAGGGTGTATGAGGCCTCCACATGCATGTACACACGTGAGCATTCACTCACATACACATGAAAACATACATATACACATACACACTGCACACATGTACAAAGGGAAATCAATCAGTCAAAAATAAAATATCAGACAAAGTGCTCTTTGGGCCCCACACTCTTCTGCATGTGACAGTATGTGTGGCTATGAATCAGCAGCACTTTATTTAGGGGATGACTTAATATACCATAATTTATTTATCGCATTCATGGAAAAACTTTAAAATGATGCCGCCGTATGAGTGTGCTCTGCGGAAAACAATGAGAAAGCTTTAAATACGAGAACACATAATTGTATCACAATCCTAGAAAAATATTCTCCTAGAGCATCTGGCAAGATAACAGGCCAGCCAGGGAAAGTTTCTGTTCCAAGAAAGAATTCTATAACAGTCCCAACGAAATAATCAAACTTGCTTAGAAGACAACACTATTAATTTTCTTTGAAAAGTTCAATGATTCTCCACCTATAATTCCAACTGCCTTTATTTGACCCACAGATTTTTGTTCATTCAGCTGAATAGAAACAGTGTTTCCTTTTCTTATTACTCATGCCAGCCAGGCACTGGAACGGGAGTAATAAGCAGAAGGGTATTATTACGACCACACAAAGCCCGACAGTGCTCACCCATTCTTCTCACTGTCTAAATGCCATCCCGCAGATCATTTTCACATCATTAATTACAGTGATTGCTGAGAGATGCCAGATGTGGTGTTTTTAATGAAAAATACGGTTTTAGGAAATAATACCCTATTTAATAGGATTATATAAATGTCTGATTAGTGAGTGAATACATATTTATTACGCAAGAAGCCATTATTTGGATTCCGTATTAGTACAATCAGAAACAGAGACACACTGTTATAATTCTATCCACACGTCTATAGGATGAATCACAGTGTTCTACTGCTGGGAACTAGGACCGAATGGCACCACAGTTCCAACTTTGCTTCAGAGCTCTTTGGAAAACAGGACCAGTGTGGTTGCAGCTTCTGAAATAATTCAACCAGTGGTCCTGTCAATTTAGAAACCATTTTCAATATTTTTATAACGTCTCTCTTCCTCTACCACAAAAGTTTAAGTTTCAGAACACCTGGATCACGCTGACTTTTGGAAGAAGCTAAACATTTTAGTAGCAGGTTTTCTGGACTCTTTGCCAACATGGCAGATGTAGACAGATGTTCACTTCCCTTCCCAATCGATATCGTGAAGTTCAGAATTCCCATTAACTTCAAAGACTTAACACACAGAATGGATATTTGGAGTTAAGAGAAAGTAGAGGACACAATAAACTAGATGCAGGCCATGAACAGACTCAAACTGTAATCTACTAATGTACTAAATATAATGTACTATTGTCTACGTAGGAGTTCAGAGGTCAGCTAATGTGCTTCACAAGGTATTTCTGCCTCCTTGTTAAGGAAAATTGTAGAAACTCAGCCTCTTAACATAGATTTGCACACTTAAAAAAAAACTTGGTTATGCATGTTATGTAAGAATTTGGAGGTGCTGGAGATGACTCAGCAGGTCAAAGCCCTTTCTGAACAGGGCAGAGAGCTAGTTCCATAGCAGGAAACCACCATGGAAAAAGAGAAAACTAGACAAAAATTGTCCTTTTACCTCCACACACATGCCATGGTATACATGAATTCACACAGAATAATAATGAATAACACAGAAAGTTTAAACAAAAAGAATGTGGAGATTTGAGCATTGAACAAAATGCAATGGAACCCAGCTGGGGTCAGTGTTCTAAGGTTACCTAAAGAGTTTTCTAAGCTAGTTGGTAAGTAAACAGGACTAGTGAGAGAAGCAGGCAGAGATGTGAGCACCTGAAATTTTTTATCACTTCACTACGTGTTTCTGGACTGTGTCTAACGCAGTGGAGTAAATTTTTTAAAGACAGTAGATTTCCAATAATTTGCCATCAGCAAGCTCACTTAATAACTTCATAAAAGTTACTGATGCAAAGACTGCCTTCTTGGTTTGTGTGTACCCTTTCTCTTTCAGTTTAAATTGATGCTGTGCGGCATCCTTGTGAAGGAGGCAGAAGGCCGTAGGAAGTTAAGGATTTCTATGACATGTTTCAGCATTAGCATCATGATTTCAGAATTTAAAACTCTGTCCTAACTAGGAATTTAAAAAGGTGAGCAGGGCCTAGCATTGTAGTTTTGTAAGCTCAGAACTAGAGGGAGAGAGAGGCAGGAAGGCCAACCATGACAGAGGGATTTAAAGTCTAATCTGGGACAAGTGACACTGCCTCAAAAACACAGTTGAATATAGAACAGAAACACTTGCTACGTTTCTGTAGTATCTATATGCAGAGAAAACTCCAAATCTGTTGTTATAATTCTATCAGCATGTATAAATTCAATATAATACTTTCCACATTTTGATACCTTTTAATTATCTTAACGCAAATGCTATCAATGAGTTTCCTTCGTTGATTTATAAACAAATATATGTAGTGTTTCATAGGCTATCATTTATTTAACAGTATATTAGGAATGATTGTGCTATGCTGATACCACAACTGTAACACTGTTTAATGTCTGAATAATTTTCAATATTTTAATATTACGAGCCATATACAAATGGACGCCTCAGGAGTTCACGTCCATTTATAACTTTTTTTTTGATAAACTCTCTATAATACGAATGATGAGTCCAGCAACATACAAAAATTGAAGATATTTCATATATCTTCACAATTTTAGGCACATGAAAGATCGAATGATACAGGCACCCAAAGTGTGAGTCCTGCAGCTTCCCGTCATCTTCATCCACAGGGGATGATGCCCTGCCTTCATCCCAAGGAATCTGATAATCACATTACCAAACAATATGCATCTTATTTTCATTACGTTTCTTTGATTCCTAGTAAGATGTGTAATTCTCTCTCTGCATGATATGTCCTTTGCTTAACAGAGGAATCCACATTCATCCTCAATGTCAAAAACCTAGACTCATCTATCGCTTCTCAGAATACTGGATCCCTTCATCACCAAACCCTTAAACTCACTGTAGGGATGCTGATCTTCAGTTGTGTAGATTTCAGGACCGTCCCTGAATAGAGTGTAGGTAAGCCAATGGGCATTGGGAGAATCAGGTGGACTCCAGGACAGATTGATGGCAGAAGAACTTTGAACTTGTCCTCTGGGTGGAGGTTGCTGGGACCGAGCTAAATTGCAAGGGAGAGAGCATTTATTAGCAAAGGAAATCAATAAACACACTAGTAAACTGAAGTAAGACACCCAGCAAAGAGGTCTTTCTGATTCAGGATCACTTTATCAAGAAGACATGTGGTTTACCAAAACATTAATAAACAAAGGGAATGCATCACCAGTTCCCTAAAACAAAGCTTTTTATCTATAAGCATAAAACAGATTTGTAGGTCATAGCAGCTGACATAGAGATGGAGGGGAGAGAAACCACAGTATATTTAATCATTTCTCTCACTGTAAAAAAAACCATCCAAAGATACACTGCAGCTCTCTTCTATTAAACTTAAAACTTGACATAAATTCCATTGAAATTTGAAAATTAAATAACATACTTTTTGAATTCTTAAGAGTTCTCCCTTCCACTAAGAACAATGCCTTATTTTGCTTGGTAATGCACAATTTAGAGGCTAATATTTGTTAACAAAGAGCGATGGTTGCCAAAAATCTAAATGTTGCCCATCAAACTTAGCATTACTCTGTGAATATTCTAATACCTGAGGTGCTTTTAGGATACAGTTGCTTATCATGCATGTAAGAACATTCATTTAGTTATTTAGTGATAATTTGTGTGGTACAAAAATATGCTGTGGACATATATTATCTTTTACCACTATCAATTTTCTGTCTTCTGAAGTCGTTCCTTTCTTTGAAAGTGAGAGCTTTATTCCGTCCCCCCCCCCGAATATACAGAAAAGGAAAAGAACCACCAACATCCAAAATTCCACCTGCTTTAAGTGACGCAATCCAGTTAGAATTTCCCAAAGTGAGATAGCACAGATGGCTTTTCATGAATATGGTTTGTATTTTAATCCATTAATGCTTTTTTAAGTGATCTTTAAAAAAATCACGCAGGGGCTGGAGAGATGCCTCAATGATTAAGAGCACTGAGTGCTCTTGCAAATGACCCATTTCAGTTCCCAGGACCCACATGACAGCTAACAACCATCTGATCTTTACATGGGTACACTTACTTAAATGCAAAATACTCACATATCTAAAATTAAAAATAAATGGATTTTTAAAAATCATGCAAAGAACTAATTTCATAAAATAATTATAGATATTTTATCTGAAATGTCTGAAGCCATCAGGTAAGTCACTCAGGGTCTCAGGAAGAAAGATTAATTGCATTCCGTAAGTTTCATGGGGTGAGATTCAGAAATGGTCTGTACTCCCAGATGGTACAGAAACTCCAGACACAACAATAACAAAATTCTTCCTATGTATGGCAGATGACCTCGAGGGCACCCTGGAGCCCAAGAGAGACCCAGGCCTCACAATCCAATCTTACCCCTGACTCAGTTTTATCACAACAAAAGTTATAGAACTAACCCAAGGGAAAAGGCACCTCAGCGAAGTACAAGGGAACAAGTTATAAGCATTCTCCCCCAGAGGTATCCAAAAAGTCATGCTAAAATCTCTTAGTAATGCATTATAAAGACATGTGGAAGGGGTTGGGCGGTGTCCCTCTGTGGCAGAGTGCTTGCTCTCATGTCTAAGACCTCGAGCTTCATCCTAGCACTGAAAAAAAAAAAAGGTAAAAAAGTAAGAAATTGAAAGCAAAAGGTGTTGGGGCTGGAGAGACGGCTCAGCAGTTAAGAGCACTGACTGCTCTTGCAAAGGACCCGGGTTTGATTCCCAGCACCCATATGGCGGCTACGAACCATCCTTAATTCCAGTTCCAGGAGAATCCAACACCATGTTCTGGCCTCCACAGCATTATATGACATGGGTCCACTCACATACATGCAGGCAATACACTCATACACATAAAATAAAGACAATACATGAAATATTTTAAAAAACGGAAGTATAAGGTGTTGCTAGCCTGGGAAGCTTACTAGAAACTCGGGGTCCAAGGTTTAATTAAGGGGCTGTTCATACCATCAGCCTTTGTCTGGCACATATCAAAATTTCAGATTTCTAGAAGGAAAGAGATAGTAAGTCCAAACCACAGTTGGTTTGAAAGTGTCAGTACCTACATCCAATCTGATTCACTCTGGGAAGGGTTAGTACTCATAAAATCCAAGTTCCCACAAGCCAACCAAAGTCCAATCTTGTAAAAAGACCTTTCTAAAATGGGCAGTTGGCTTGCTATGCTAAAATTTGCCTATAGGGAACAGATCCTGTAGATGGAAAGGTCTGTAGAAGGGGTATCCTTCCATAATGGCTAGGACCATTTGCAGACAGATGGGGCCAATTGAACATTCCTTCCAAACTGAGAAAAGGGATTGGGGCTCCAATGTTATGACTGCTCTTTCCACCTTCTGTCCAGATGGATGGTGTGTTTCTTCTGGGAGATAAAGTTAAGGAATTAAATGCTGGAGGGCGAGGGAGTCTGTGATGTACACCACAGAGAGACTTGGGGGACAGAGGAGGCCAAGGATTAAAGAGTAAAATGAAGTGATCCCAAGTACTCAATGACTTTCCCCTAGAGCAACTGCTACCTCATCATGATATAGCATCAGTCGTACATCTGCTTTACATCAAGAAGCAGAATCGAGCTCAGCAGTTAAGAGCACTGACTGCTCTTGCAGAGGACCTGGGTTTGATTCCCAGCGCCCAAATGGTGGCTACGAACCGTCCTTAGCTCCAGTTCCAGCGGAATCCGAAGCCCTCTTCTGACCTTCGCAGCACTGCATGACATGGGTGCACTCACCTACATGCAGGCAATACACTCATACACATAAAAAATGATAAATAAATAAATATTTTTTTTAAAAAGAAGCAGAGTCCATGTGTTGGCTCAGTGGGTAAAGGCACCTGCTGCCAGAACTGATGACCTGAGTTCAGTCCACACACATACCATTCTCTCTCCTCCCTCCCTCCCCCCATACACATACATATAAATACAAATAAAATTAGTTTTAAAAGGAATCTATACTATGATCTCCTGGGCATGAGATAATTCAAACCCACTCCTTTTAAAATATTTTATTATTTTTATTTTATGAGCATATTGCCTGCTTGTATCTAAGCATTCCTAAATCTCTTATTTTTAATGCAATTATAAATGAAGTAT